ATTAACGGGAACAGAGAATATTCTCGATTCTGCAATGATAGTAATAGTATGGGTATTGATAATACTGATAATATACGATGGTATAAATAATGATGATAGTAATAATTACAATGATAGTAATGGTAATAATGATGGCAGTCACACACACACATGCACACACACACACACACACACACACATATATATATATATATATATATATATATATACATATATATATATAAATATATATATATATATATATATATATACATACATACATACACACACACATATATATATATATATATATATATATATATATATATATATATATATATGTATATATATATATATATATATATATACATACATATATATATATATATATATATATATATATATATCCTCTGTGTATATAATTAGAAAATACCATCAATGAAACAAATACAGACAAACAGGCCAGCAGCATTTTTAGCAAAGGAAACCACCAAATCACTAGCCTCCTCACATGTACCATCATCAGAGGGTGTGGCTTTTACGGTCTTAAAGCACAAATCCCTCACTACCTTCCCCGTTTTACTGAATGCATTTAAACGAAATAAATAATACGTCTATCTAGAATATCTCTCTTTTTTCTAAACCTTTTATTATACACTATTCACATCAGAGTGAATACATGCATATGTATTTGTATGTGTGTATTTATAAATCTATAAATAAATCATCCTGTTAAACACTATTACCATAAGGCTGACTAGATATATGAGCATATCTGTGTGTGAGCGCGCCCCTATATAAATAAAGAAATAAATATACATACATATATATACGTATGTATGTATATGTGTGTGTGCGTGTGCTTGATATACATACACGCACGCACGCATGTACAGACATACATACGCACACACACACACACACACACAGTCGTGTGTGTATATACGCATAAATATGTATATACACATATACATACATATTTATATATGTATGTACTATATAACTATATATGCACTCATTTATTTAGGTGTGTGGATATGTATGTACTGGACTGTACCCTTAATTAACGTTTTTTTTTCGTGGGTCGATATTTTCCAGACTTAGGCTTTGTGCAAGCGGGAATGTCTTTTCATGTGGATTTGTGTGGATGGTCATGCGTGTTTTGGTGCGAGCGGATATTTCACTACTGGTGTTTCGATGCACATTTAAGTGTAGTGGAATATTATGTTACCTGATTATTTTTCATTTAGCATATTTGTCACTAACTGGCATAGACGCTTAATACTATCGCTCTACTGTTGGAATTTACTTTTTTAAACCTTTTATATTTCAATAATGATAGCCTTTTACCAGGCTGCAGGTCTTACTCACAAGACGGATTTGTTTCACAATCAATATTCTGAACTGGAAATGATATTAATTCGCATTTCATTCAGTTCGTTCATCCTCAATTGACCCCATGGTTTGACCGCTTTCCTGGCAAGGCTGCAAGAAGTGGATCCTGCATATGTGTTCCCGGAGCATCTGTGTAATATAAGTAGACCTCATACCTGGCAATAAATTGCTTACATTTGTCCTTGTTCCTTGGCGTTAATGCTATATATCTGGAAAATAAACCATCGCCAGTTCACCATCAAATTCGAGATGGAGTTTGTTACCACTAGCATAGGAAACAGGCTTTTTTTATGAAGGATACTCCTACACATTGGGCACGATATTCGGTTCATCAATAGATCATAAACAGTGATGCATAAGAGGCTTATAAGATATTATCATTTTAATTCATACCTTTTAACATCAAATGTATGTAGAAACATGTTCACCTGCCTAAAAAAAGAGCAGGGAAATTTTCACCCTCACAAAATTTCAAACGGAAAAGTGGCGCTTTTGTGTATGTATGCGTGTCCATATCCACAGATAACAGTGACCACTGTCATCTAAATCGATGTTGCTTGACCTTAAAACGAAAATCCCGGTGTATATAAGATCCCCTCCTTTGCGTTGCATTAGTATCATCTCTCATATTCATGATGGTAAGACCTCTGCGGCAGAGTGAATATTGATTTCAATTCTTGCTAAAGGTTTCACGTTTAGTATGTCCTGCATACAGATAGGTAAAAGTGTTCTCATATTACAGCTCAGGTAAGGCAAGATACCCTGTTGCTTTCAGAGACGGGGTGCGTTGGTGGTGTTGGGCTTGCTGGTCGGTTCGGCCTACAGCAGCTGCCTCGGCGGAGGCTGTGGTGGAGGATCCTCTGGTGGCATTAGCCGTTCCTACGGAGGACCCACTAATAGTTTCGGAGGTTCTGGAGGAGGAGGCGGGTCCTTCGGGGGAGGATCCTTCGGAGGAGGATCCTTCGGGGGAGGATCCTTTGGAGGAGGTTCTGGAGGAGGAGGAGGATCCTTCGGGGGAGGTTCTGGAGGTGGCGGTGGAGGAATAAGTAGCAGTTATAGAGGACCAACCAATAACTTCGGTGGAGGAGGCGGTGGGTCGTTTGGGGGAGGTGGATCCTTCGGAGGAGGATCTTTCGGAGGTGGTGGCGGATCCTTCGGTGGCGGGTCCTCTGGAGGAGTAAGTACAAGTTACAGCGGACCAAGGACCAGCTTCGGAGGAGGTGGCCGTGGATCTGTCGGAGGGGGCAGAGGATCCTTCGGCAGAGGGTCCTCCGGCAGAGGATCCTTCGGCAGAGGGTCCTCCGGCAGAGGATCCTTCGGCAGAGGGTCCTCCGGTAGAGGATCCTTCGGAGCAGGTGGCGGTCGCTTCGGTGGCGGATCTTCTGGCGGAAGGGGCGGTGGCATCGGCGGCGTAGGAGGATCCTTTGGCGGGGGAGTGAGCAACACTTACAGTGGCCCAAGCAATAACTTCGGAGGCTCTGGCGGAGGCGGTGGAGGAGGGTTTGGAGGAGGATCCTTTGGCGGCGGGTCTTTCGGGGGTTCAGGCGGCGGTGTGTCTGGCAGTTACCTGCCGCCCTCCGGGAAATAACTTCATCCACAGGAGATTATATTCTATCAAACGAATGTAATGAATTTTCTGAAAATAAATTATTTAACAAAGGAACGTATTTGAGAGTCGTTAATATTTGAAAATTAACGAGAACAGGGAATATCTCGATTCTGTAATGATAATAAAAGTATGGTTATTGATATAACTGATAATGTAAAATAATACAAATAATGCCAATATTAGTAATAATTACAATGATAGGCACAGTAATAATGGTGACAGGTATACGCACACACACACACACACATATATATAAATATATATATATAAATATATATATATATATATATATATATATATATATATATATATCCTTTGTGTATATAATCAGAAAACTTCATAATATAAACACAAAAAACAGGTCAGCAGCATATTTAACAAAGGAAACAACCAAATCACTAGCCTCCTCACATGTACTATCATCTGAGTGTGTGGCTTAAACGGACTTGAAGCAGAAATTCCTCACTACCTTCCGCGTTTCCGTGAATGTATTTTAGCGAAATAAACAATATGCTTACGTAGGATGTCTTTTTTTGTAACCTTCAACTATATACTATCTATATAAGAATGAATACATGCATAGATATATGTGTGTGTGTGGATTTATCGATATATATATAAATCACCGTGTTATACACTATTTACACAAGACTGAATAGATAGATAGACAAGCAAATCTATATCTAAAAATAAATAAATGTATATATATATATATATATATATATATATATATATATATATATATATATATATATATATATATATATATATGTATGTATATATATATATATATATATATATATATATATATATGTATATATATATATGTACATATATGTATATGTATGTATATATATGTACTTATATATACATATGTATGTACGTGTGTGTGTACGTGTACAAGATACACATACACGCACCCACGCATGTTGAGACACAGACACGCTCACACAAGCGCACGCTTACACACACTCATACTTACATAGGCACATACAGAGGCGTGCGTGTATGTATATATACATAAAGCACACATAATACAGAAATACACACACACACATACATATATATATATACATATATATGGTGTGCTTGACTGCTTGTGTGTGTGCATGTATGGATATGAGAGTGTGTGTGTGCGCGTATGTGTGTGTGTCTGTACCTGCGTGCGTGCGTATATGTGTACCTTGCACACGCATACATATACATACATATTCATACATATGTGTGTGTGTGTGTGGATGTGTGTACGCGCGTGTGTGTGTGTGTATGTGTGTGTGTACTAATTTATTTATTTACGTGTAAGGATATGTATGTATGTACTGGACTATACTCCAATAAGCCTCCGGGCTAATACAGTGGTTCCGTGTCGGCCTCTCATCCGAGGGGTTGGCTGTTTGCGCCCCGCAATTGTCGCCTGGAGGTTACTGCTGTGGCTGGGCACCACGGCGGGTAAGGACTTAGCTCTGCCGAGTCAGCACCAGCTGACACACGTTAGCGAGTCGGCATTAGTGGACACAACATGGACATAGCCCGGGTGAGGCTCAGCTTCGCATATCTGACTTATCCTTATGTACTCCAGTCATTGTTTTTTGCAACGCAGGTAACTTAATTAGTGTTTTTTTTTTTGTTTTTTGTTTTTTTTGTGCGATATTTCCAGGCTTTTAGGCTTTGCGCAAGCGGGAATGTCTTTACATGGATTTGCGTATGGATATGTGTGTGTGTTCGTTTGTTCGTGTGTCTGTACGTTGTGTGTGTGCATTTATGTGTATCTTGCTGAAGCACACATATACAGATGTATTTATATATATGTATATATATGTATATATATAACAATCCTCCCTGACCTGGCCTCGAACCTATGTCACTCCGGCTATGAGACCGGAGGGCCAGGGCTAAACCAACCACGCCACGCGACCCACTAAAAGGAGTATGCAACTAGGATCTAACTAGCTTCATAGACATTACTTATCTACTCATACATGAGTAATGATAGCGAGGTTTTACACACACTCCCCGTGGGCACTCGGTGAAAATTGATTTAGAAATTCGGTATATATATGAAAGATATCAATGCGGCTTTGCATTATTCCATCTTTCATATATCTACATATACTGGTTTATTTACTTACGTGTGTCGATATGTATGTATGTACTGGACTGTATCCCATTCATTGCAACGCAAGTAAATTAATTAATATTTTTTTGCGTGGGTCGATATTTCCAGGCAAACAAGCGGGAATGTCTTTACATGGATTTGTGTGGATGGGCATGCGTGTTTTGGTGCGAGCGGATACTTCACTACTGGTGTTTCCATGCACATTTAAATGTGGCGAAATATTTTGATACTTGATTAATTTCATTTGGCACAGTTGTCACAAACTGGCATTAACGCTTCATAGTATAGTACCTTTAATCTTTTAGTAATATCCTTTTACCAGACTGCAGGTCCTACTCAAGAATAAAAAGTTTTCTTTTCTATTCATAATCAACATTCTGAACCGCTAATTATGTTATTTCAAATCCATTCTTCTCGTCCATCCTTAATTGACCCCTTGGTTTACATCCTTAACTGACCCCATGGTGTCCATACTTAATTGACCCCTTGGTTTCCATCCTTAACTGACCCCATGGTGTCCATACTTAATTGACCCCTTGGTTTCCATCCTTAATTGACGCCGTGGATTAACCGCTTTCCTGGCAAGGCTGATAGAAGTGGATCCTGTGTTCCCGCACCACCTGTGTAATCTAAGTAGACCTCATACCAGCCATTAATTTGCTTAAATTTGATATTGTTCCATGGAACAAAGAAAATCATTCATCGCCAGTTCATCATCAAATCCGCGATGGAGCTTGTTACCATCAGCAGAGGGGAAGACTCCTACACGCTGGGCACGATATTCGGCTCATTAATAGATCATAAGCAGTGATGCATAAGAGACTGATAAGATATTATCAATCTAATTCATACATTTCAACATCAAATGTAAGAAGGGGAATGTTCGCCTGCTTAAAAAAAAAAAAAAAAAAAAAAAACTAGCATGTGTGCGTGACCATATCCGCAGATAACAGTGATCACTGTCATCGAACACATTGTTACTTGACCTTAAAACGAAAATCACGGTGTATATAAGATCACCTCCTTTGCGCTGCATCAGTATCATCTCTCATATCCATGATGGTAAGACCTCTGCGGCAGAGTGAATATTGATTTCAATTCTTGCTAAAGGTTTCACGTTTAGTATGTCCTGCATACAGATAGGTAAAAGGGTTCTCATATTACAGCTCAGGTAAGGCAAGATACCCTGTTGCTTTCAGAGACGGAGTGCGTTGGTGGTGTTGGGCTTGCTGGTCGGTTCGGCCTACAGCAGCTGCCTCGGCGGAGGCTGTGGTGGAGGATCCTCTGGTGGCATTAGCCGTTCCTACGGAGGACCCACTAATAGTTTCGGAGGTTCTGGAGGAGGAGGCGGGTCCTTCGGAGGAGGATCCTTCGGAGGAGGATCCTTCGGGGGAGGATCCTTCGGAGGAGGATCCTTCGGAGGAGGATCCTTCGGGGGAGGATCCTTTGGAGGAGGTTCTGGAGGTGGCGGTGGAGGAGGAATAAGTACCAGTTATGGAGGACCAACCAATAACTTCGGTGGAGGAGGAGGTGGCGGTGGGTCCTTTGGGGGAGGTGGATCCTTCGGAGGAGGATCTTTCGGAGGTGGTGGCGGATCCTTCGGTGGCGGGTCCTCTGGAGGAGTAAGTACAAGTTACAGCGGACCAAGTAATAGCTTTGGAGGAGGAGGTGGCGGCGGATCCTTCGGAAGTGGCGGCGGATCCTTTGGCGGAGGCGGCGGTGGCTTCGGCGGCGGAGGAGGATCCTTTGGCGGGGGAGTGAGCAACACTTACAGTGGCCCAAGCAATAACTTCGGAGGCTCTGGCGGAGGCGGTGGAGGAGGGTTTGGAGGAGGATCCTTTGGCGGCGGAGGCGGCGGGTCTTTCGGAGGATCGGGCGGCGGTGTGTCTGGCAGTTACCTGCCGCCTTCCGGGAAATAACTGCATCTACAGGAGAAACATATGTTCTAGTAAATGAATGTTATGTATGTTTTGAGAATAAATTATTTAACAATGGAGCTATTTTTTGAGGCGTTAACATATGAAGATTAACGGGAACAGGGGATATTCTCGATTCTGCAATGATAGTAATAGTATGGGTATTGATAATACTGATAATATACGATGGTATAAATAATGATGATAGTAATAATTACAATGATAGTAATGGTCATAATGATGGCAGTCACACACACACACACACACATATATATATATATATATATACATATATATTTATATATATATATATATATATATATATATATATACATATATATATATTTACTCTGTGTATATAATCAGAAAATACCATCAATGAAACAAATACAGACAAACAGGCCAGCAGCATTTTTAGCAAAGGAAACCACCAAATCACTAGCCTCCTCACATGTACCATCATCAGAGGGTGTGGCTTTTACGGT